AACTGAGTTTATTTTTGTCTAGGATGAAGCCTGACTTTTGTTCACTTTGTTAGAAACCAGCAGAGGGGAGAGGAGATAGTAGGAAAGAGATCCTACTCTTATAAGTCTCAGGGACTGCCAGGCCTGCTTAGGTGTTGGCCATCTATATGATATTAACCATTTTCTTTTGTAAGATTCAGGAAATGTTATTACATATCCTTTTACTAACACTTTTGTGGTATCAGTTATCTTGCCCAAATCTTTTTTTTTCACTATTTTGGAATTATTTTTTTAAACTGTATAAATGTTAATGAGTAGCAATTATGTGAGTTGGGATTGGGATCTTCTAGATGTCAAACTGAGAGCTTATTTTGATATACATAGAAAGAGGAAGCTAGCTAAATGTCTCATTTAGCTTGAGTGAAACAGGAAGTACCTCTCTTTTATTAATAAAGTCCTAAGGATAAAAACAGATTTTCTAACATACTCTGATTAGCTCTGTGGTTTAAGTGTTATCAGAGTTTGTCCCTTTCCTGAAAAGTATTAAAATGAATGTTTAGAAAATGGAAATTCCACTAGAAAAAAAATTTTTTTTCATCCAGAAACTATCTTTTTAAACTAGTTTCGGTTGGAACTACTTCGATGTAAAAAGCTACTAGAAATATTTTTATTTTATGCTACTAAAACCATTCACTTCTGAGAAGCCTTTCTTGACTCTCCTACCCCCTCCCCACGCCCGCCTGAGTTAGAAGTCTGTTTCCCCTGTTGTTCCTCTTTCGTACTAACTTCCAACTCTCTGTTATGTCTTTACTATAACATCGTACTGTAATCATTTATTTTTTGGTCCATCTTTTCCATTAAACTGAGAGTTTGATTCATTTTCATCTCATCACCTAGCATAGTGCCTACCACAGGGGTATTCATGAATTTTTTTATAAGAATGAATGATAGTGTTGTCAGACAACCCAGTATGATAACACGGTCTATGTGGTGAGTCAACACGTACATGAGGGGATAAATTCACCAGTTGGTAATAGAATGAAGAAGGAAAATACAGGATTCAATAAAGGTTATACTCACATACTCAGAAAGCTGACTAGCAAGTCAGGTCATTGATGGACAAATAATTTTTACTTGGCCTAAATTAAGGCTTTTACCAACGACAGTGAATAAGCTATCCTATGTTTTAAAAAATACACTTTATATAACCTGATTACATACAATTTTTGATGCTTTTAAAAATAATTGGAACTGGTCAATAAGATGGTAAAAGAAAATGTGGCCAGGCGTGGTGGCTCATGCCTGTAATCCTAGCACTCTGGGAGGCTGAGGTGGAAGGATAGCTTGAGCTCAGGAGTTCGAGGCCAGCCTGAGCAAGAGCAAGACCCTGTCTCATTAAAAAAAAAAAAGAAAAGAAAAAAGAAAGAAAATTGGAAAAAACAATTTAAAGGTTAAACTGTGAGAATAAATATTGGCCCAAAAACTTATGAAAAGAAAAAAAAGTTATCTGCCTGTATACTTTTTTAAAACCTTCCAATCCTCTCCTTCGGAACATAGAAAATATTAGCAGAATTGACTCCTGCTGTGGAAGCCAGTCACTGAGATGATACTTCAAAGATCTGTGCCTTCCTGTATTCATTTCCCTTGTTTAGTCTCCTCCCTTAGTGAGTCAAGTTCAGCCCTTGGTGACCAATAGAATCCAGTGGAGGTGATCTTGGGTAGCTTCCGAGGCTATACCATTAGAGGCCTTGCAGCTTCCACTTTGGTCTCTTGGAACCCTCACTCTTGGAGCCCTGAGCATGATATATAGAGTCTGACTACCCTAAAGCCACCTTGCTTGAGAGACCACATAAAGAGGCCCTGAGCTTTCATGTAGAATGATTCCTGGCCAGCTCCTCAGCCATTTGGGACATCCCAGCTGAGGCTCCAGACATACTGTGAAACAGAATTGAATTATCCCTGCCGAGCCTTGCCTAAAATGCAGATTCATGAGTAAAATACATAATTGTTGTTATAAGCCTTAAGTTTCCAGTGGTTTGTTACTTAGCAATAGATAACTGAGACACTCCTCCCCTTCCTTCCTCCTTCACTTGATGTAAAGTGTTTCCTTAGGTGAGTGCAGAGTGAGCAAGGATATGTCAGGTCAACTCTAAAGGAATTTTCCAGCCATTGTTGCTGGGATAATTGACTTATTCATGCTGTATAAATAAACTGCTTCAGGACTGTCTTCTGAGAAATAACTATTAATATATCATTTCTGTCAAGACACAGGGGACCCAGAACCATCTCTGGAGCTTGTGCCAGGTGTAAACCCACAACCCAATATTTTAATATACATGAATAGATACATTAAGCTGAACATGAAGGGCATCCTTCTACAGAAAAGAAGTCATAAGAGTATAAATAACAGGAGGAGTGCAGGCAGAAGGAGCAATAGACCTCTGCTTGCACTCTGCAGAGTTAAAGCTGCTAGTACATGTTCCCATTTCAGGACCCGTTCCCTACCCACGTTTGTAACATGGAATTCATCCCTGATGCTGCAGCAATTAGACCAGGAATGTACAACAGTCTATAGCCAATCTATTATTGACTGGCCAGAAATGTACCCAATTATCTCCCTTGAGAGTCTGAACTAAAATATAAAGAGGCTTTAGCATGTACTTGGACAGAAAGGTCATGAGGAATCATAGTGGGATAGCTGTTGTCAGCCACATTTATGTTGATGAGTAAGTAGAGAGCTGGTTTGCAGAAAGAAGTAGTGATTAGAATTCATGAGGGGAGGAGAAAAAGAGAGAGGGAGAAAAGAAAAAAAAGAGTGAGAAAGAAAGAAAGAGGATGAGAGAGTGCTAGCACTAGCTCTGTTCATTGGCTTTCTAATCCTCAGTTCTTAAAATTTAATTTTCCTTTTTTAATTTTATTTTTGGTCAGGGGTAATGGTGGGATAGAAATTAACAGAAAGGGGATTCTATCTTCACTTTTGTTTAAGGGTCCTTGAAAAGATCACCATTGGTTATGGGCTTTGTTGTAGGTTTGAGTTTCTCATTAATGAATACTTCAAAACAATGAGAGTTTAGAGATTGTTGCTCTAAAACTGATTTGGGTATGTTGTTTGTTAATTAAGAAGAACAGCATCACTATGGGACAGAGCTCCCATAGGCATCAGAAGGCCGAAGGAGATACTTCTTTACTCTTTATTTCAGATGAATTAGAAGGGAACAAATTTAAGGCAGGAGGAGGCACTGGGCAACACAGGCTCTGGGTTTTTCTAGTCTCTGCTCAACCACGTTCATTGTAACCACAGATCGGTCCCTTCGCCTTTCTGTATCTCTGCTTCTTCTGCTGCACTCCATAGTAGTCACGGTTTTAATATTCCATGAGTATAAAATATCTAATGAGGATCTTATCCAAAAACATCCTCACATAAAACTTTCAACTCACTCTGAAGAGGAAAAAGTATGCACTGGGTAAAAGACCCTATTGCCTAAGATCTGGAACTTAAATTTGCAGTAATTTCTAATACTTAAGTACTTTTCTTCCTGATTGTGCAATAAAGGACAGGAAGTGAAAAGGGGAACATTCTTAATGTTTAAGTTAAGTCAGAGGCTCATTTAGGATACACATTAGATGTGAATAAGTTTGGGAAAGTAAAAAGATAATCAAATTTGAAACTGAACTGATCCTCATTTGATGTCCTAAGATGTCGAAATACTGTTTCTCAGAGAAACCAACTTACCTTTTTTATTACATAAGCAATGCATATGTAATGTAGTAAAATTCGGCCCAAGTATGACACGTGTTAATATTTGAGGTATGTATTTTTTAATATCTTCTGGCAAACCCTATACCATTGGCTTGGAACAGATCTTATTGTTTATATGGTAATGTTTATGTCCTCAACTAGGCTATGAACTCCATGAGGAGAACCCCTTTACCATAAATCTACATACCCTCTCCCCACACACACACTTTAGCCACTTTCTTTGGGAAGGGATACGAGAAAGGTTATAAATGCTTCCTTCGCTAGCACTCATGCATTCATTTGACAGATGTTTTATTGAGCTCCCAGTATGAACTTGGGCCAGGCCTAGAGAATTCAAAGATACATGCACTTTAAGATATGCCTTTTGCCTATAATCCTAGCACTTTGGGAGGCCGAGGTGCGAGGAGGGAGGCAGGACCAGCAGTTCAAGACCAGCCTGAGCAAGAGTGAGATCCCATCTCTACAAAACATAGAAAAATTAGCCGGGCATGGTGGCATGTGCCTACACTCCCAGCTACCGGGGATGCTGAGGCAGGAGGATCACTTGAGCCCATGAGTTTGAGGTTACAGTGAGCTATGATGACCACTGCACTCTAGCTCGGGTGACAGAGTTGAGACCCTGTCTCAAAAAAAAAAAAAAAACTCATGTCTTTTGGTCTCAGGAAATTCACAGTTCTAATAGGGAGATGATACATAGTTATTTTACTAAGTACATGTGCAATTTCAGAGCGATATGTGAAAGTCTTAAGAGAAAGTTCAGGAGAGGGTCGGGCAGGTTGTGGGGGAAGATTCCTGAAAGGGTGACATTGGCCGGGCGATGTGGGGGCGGTGGGAGGGGTGAAGAGGGGAGAAGAGGAATTAGGAATAAGAATTTCAGGGGCTTCCTGTGTCAGCAGGGATTCCTTTTCCCTCACGACTTGCATCATAAATCAAGTCTGAAGTTCGACTAGAGCTCCCTTCCGCGCCTAGAACTTGGAAACAGAACCAGGGGCAAGAAGACCCGGATGCTGAGCCTGGCCTCCCACCAGCTAGAGAGGCCCCTCGAGTCCCAGGAGGGGCGGGGTCGGGGGCGGGACGAGGCAGAGCTCGGGGTGGGGTCAGCCTTGCGTCCGCCAGAGCCCGCCTGCCCCGCCGCTGGTGCTGACGCAAGAGCCAGGCTTGGATTGGTGCGTGAGCACGCCGAGCACTCTTCATAGGCCTCGCAGGGCGGCTGGCGAGGCTTTGATTGGCTCACCGGGCGCTGAGCGGTTATTGGCTGCAGTGGGTTGTCAGGGCGACTGAGGGGAAAAGGAGAAGGGGTGCTGGGCCGCGGGCTAACCGAGGTTGCGGACCGCTGGGTGGTTCCGCGGGGCGGTGTCCGGAGAGCTGCGGGGCCAGGGCACCCAGGTTTCACCCACACTCAGGAGGTGCCTGAGCAAGTGGGCCTGCCAGTGAGACCCACGGGCCGGGACCATGGGCTGCTTCTTCTCCAAGAGGCGGAAGGCTAAGAAGGAGTCGCGGCCCGAGAACGAGGAGGAGCAGCCAAAGCAGTACAGCTGGGACCAGCGCGAGAAGGTAATGAAAGTCTTGGAGCCGCTGATCTCAGCCCTCACGAGCCTCTCTGCAAGGGTCCCTTACGACCCTGGAGAGCTGAGGGGGCCGACCCAACAGCTGCCGCTCTCTCCTTTGCTCTCTCTCATCAACGCGGGTAACTGAAGTCTGGGTGTGTGACTTTTGGGGGCCTTGAAATACAGCGCTAGGGAGGGCACCCCATAGGGCTGTGAAGCACTGGAAGGTGCTTTAGAGTTTGTTATCCAGGTAGATGGACTCCCAGGAGCTTTCCCTTGGCTCCGCACCCTGACTTGCGCTGACTTCCTGTCCGAGGATGGACTCGAGGGAGCGAAGGAGCCGAGAATGCCCTGAATCTCCAATCACCTCGTTTCAGCGGTAGTGTAGAGCGGGATTTTGTCTAGCCAAGTTACACATGGGACTGATTCTCATCTCTTCCGCGGCTTATGTTCTGTGGCTGTTTTCTCTTTTGTCTGCCCTCCACAGTAAATGTCTTCTTTGGTGCTTCATGATATATTCCACTGCCGAGTTTTCTCAATTACTAAGTGGACTGTTTAATGTACAACTTTGCTCTCCCCCCTCTTCCAGTTATCGGAAAGGAATAATGAAAATCGAATCAGTCTTGGAATGTGTGTTAAGACTGTAAGGGGAACATAACTGGCATAAATACCAGGCACTATTTTACTGTTACTTTAAATGAATGAAAACGCCCTTATTTTTACTTTTGTATTTAGCCAGAAACCAAAGAACTTTGAAAACGTCCACTAGTCTTGCACAAAACACACTTAGTCATACATTTCATAATGGTTCCTCTTTCTACATCGTTCTCCATATGTGCTTACTAAAATGCTTTGATAGATTTGTGAATTATTTTTCTCTTCCAAACAAAATGAGAGATTTTTTAATGGGTGTTGTGAACAGTTAACTCCTTGCTTAACACAACATGTCTTTACTCGAGAATACTTTGTAGTAAATTTATTAACATTTTGATACCGTAGAACTTTCTCCATGATTTCCAATCCCAGCAGAATTTATTCACGTAAACTCTGGTGTCCAAGTGTCACAGTTAAGAAATTGAAAGCTTTTTACAGAGTTCTCAGCCCCACCTTTCTGCCCCTGGTTCTCAAATGCTTCTTGGGTCACATGGTATATTTATTCTCTCTTATTCATACTTGATGGCAGCATTTTATAATGTAGGAAAAGAAAATACTGTGCTTTTTGTTGTACAAGAAGATTGCCTCTATCATTTAAAGTTATTTGATGGGTGGTTTTTAAAAGATTCATTTTCCTAAGCCTTGGGATTTCTGACAATGTTCTTTAAGCCTGAACCGTGTGTACCATAGAGAAAGTTGTGTATTTTATTTTTACTTTAGCTTTTTGTTTTGAAATCACAGGCTAAAACTAAACTAAATAAAGTGCTTTTATTTTTTATGTATAGTAGTCTTGGTGGCCTCTGACTCATTGTTTCACAATAAATTATTTTATAGTTAACCTTTATTAACATATTCGGGTTAGTTGGGATTTCATACATTAATCCTTTTACATAAGCAGTGTATTCTGTGATTTTTTTTCCTTCTGCTCTTTGGCTAAGTAAACACATTGAAAAATAGAATAGTGGACATCAACATCTAAGCTTTACCTCCCCAAATGAGCATGTAGTAAACTTTCAATTATAGACACTGTTTTGAGTTTACAGAGAACATTTTTTGAGAACACTACTAGGTACTGTAGTTGTAGAGATGTAATAGTAATAGATGTTACTGGATGTGTAAAATAAACTGATGTTTCTGGATGTGCCTATTAATAAAAGTTAAAAACTTGATCAGCTCAGCTAATCAAAATTTTTCTAACTAAATGAACATTATATTCTGAAAACAACCAGTTTTAAAATCTTTTGGACTATTAAAGAAAGAGAATTACCGGCTTATATTTTGAGACCAGTGGAGATACCACATTTCCCAATACTTCTTTTTCTTTTTGGAATTTTTTTCTTTTGGAGTTACTAGGAATTCTCTTTAGTGTGCCTCATTTATGATAGCTTGTCAAATTTTATGCAATTTTAAAGATTTTTTTCTAGTTCCTTGCCTCCCATGAGGTCAATTTGGGCTAGTGTACAAATGTTGTGTATTAGTCCAATGATATTTCAACTGAGCATGGTCTTGCTTGCTCCTAGAAGATTTCAATAGTACCTTAAAAGGAATAGAATGCAAATACAGCCCAGAAAACATAAATGAGATATGCTACATGTATATTAACAGAAATGGTATATATTAAAAGTTTAGTCTTCTGTAATGTGTCATGAAGTATAGCATATACAGTTTTAAAGTTATATCAGACAATTACCACTCAACTTGTTAGACTTTAGCTGTGAAAACAAAATAGGTTGCCTGGGCTGGGCATGGTGGCTCACGCCTGTAATCCTAGCACTCTGGGAGGCCAAGGCGGGTGGATCGCTCAAGGTCAAGAGTTCAAGACCAGCCTGAGCAAGAGTGAGACACCCGTCTCTACTAAAATTAGAAAGAAATTAGCTGGACAACTAAAAATATATAGAAAAAATTAGCCGGGCATGGTGGCGCATGCCTGTAGTCCCAGCTATTCGGGAAGCTGAGGCAGAAGGATCGCTTGAGCCCAGGAGTTTGAGGTTGCTGTGAGCTAGGCTGACGCCACGGCACTCACTCTAGCCCAACCAAGGGAGACCTTGTCTCAAAAAAAAAAAAAAATAGGTTGCCTGAAAAGTTTCCTTGCAACTTGGAAAAGCAGTGTTTACATTTTTCCCTAGGTTGTGTAATCAGGGTATCTTTATTGAGGGGCACCCCTTGGGTTTTGGGTATTGAGTTGTGTAATTGGGTCAGTCTTAGGGGACTGAAGCTAGGAGAAATTGTCTCAATTAGAAAGAATGTGGACTAAGCAATTGTCAGAGCAACTGACATACTATAGTCAACAGTGTAAGAAGCTAATTTTCTATTGCTGCTGACTTTGAAAAAGAAAAATTTACTGTACAATTACTACACTGACATGATGAGAGATATTTTTGGATTGTAAGACTTGTGCTTAAATTATTTGGAAAGAAATACTTTCATCCTTATCTAGTGCCTCCTGTAGGTAGGCAAATTATTCAATATATATGTACTCAAATACCAAGGAAAGCTCAAAATTATAATACTTATCCCTGCTCTTCAAGAGCTCACTGGCTTTTGGAATTAAAACAGGAAACATTTAAGTACAAATGAGGTGAGGACCAGTGGTACAGAAAGTAGTTTTCATTTTCCAGTTATTCATGCCAATACTCCTCTTCCCAGATGAGCAACGGTCCCCAACCTTTTCGACACCAGGGACTGGCTTCATGGAAGACAATTTTTCCACCGACGTTGGGGAGGTGGGGTAATGTAAATACAGATGGAGCTTTGCTCCTCACCCAACGCTTACCTCCAGCTGTGCGGCCTGGTTCCTAACAGGCCACCTGATGGTGTGGTGCCCTATGGTGAGGGGCTTGGGAATTGG